AAAAAAAACCATAATCCGAACAGCGTTTGAAAATTATCTTGGAAAATTTACCACCCCCCCCCCCCCCATGAGCGCGCCTGACTCAGCTTTCCCTGCACTGCTCGGCTGGAAAGCCATGCGGGGAAGGACCTGGAAGAACTTCAGGGAGCCCCGAGTTCCGCAAAGTGCGGGGAGAGGGCTGAAGCTTCTCGGGGGAGAAAGCTTTTTAAAACCCAAAGGAAAGGGGGTCTTCCCGCCGGCTGTCTAAGGAGCTGGTGAAAGGAGGCGATCTGGCATCAGAAAAACCAACACACCCCTCCCTGAAAGTTACCTCTTTCCTCTGCTCATCAGCTGCTGTGCTCCCCGGATGCCGGCAAGTTGCAGACTGCTGCTAGGGAGGCAGGACCCGAAATAAGAAGTGTCAGCTGGGTCCCTGCACCGAGATGATGCCCGGAGTCAACGCTGCAGGCGGCTGGGATGGTCTGTCCTCCTCCCCCCCGTTTAATTTAAACCCCTGACACTACAAGATGCCTGGCTCCTACATCTCCAAAGAACCTCCTCCCTCCCCACACTTCCTCACAACCAGGTCCAAGGCTTTGCTCCACCTCCCCATTTGTTTCCCTGAAGATGCTTTTCTTGCAAAAAAACACAAACACACACACACACACACACACACACACACACACACACACACACAAAACAAAAAACAAACAAGAACAAGAAGACTGCAGAACCCTTAATGCCTTCCTTTCTGGGACCACATTTTGGACAAGGTGGGACTTGTTCCAAAGTTTGAGAATTACAGCCTGATTCCCCGGGAAGGAGCACAGACCGGTGAGCGGCTGCTTTGCTCCAGACAAGTCCACCCCATCACTTTACTAAAAAAGGACAGAGGAAGACCCAGGGTACAAAGAAGAGGGAAATTCCTCTCTGTCCACGGGCAAATTCTCGACAGTTCGGAAATCTCTATTTTCTGCTTGCCTTCAAGAAAGCCCCATCTAAGGAATTTGTGTTCACGTGAAACGTTACAAGATGGCCACGAAGTGTAAATGGTGTCCTGACCTGTCTGTGATTCTTGAAGTTTTTGCTCCTGCCTCTCTGCACGTTGCTATCGTTTAAAATTGAGGCAGGGATTTAATTGGGAAAATTCCAGGAGAGAGAAGCACTTTAAATGCAGATATGGTTGAAGTAGCGCATCCGAGTATAATCCACGAGAGCTAACGCAGCGTAGATAAAACGGGAAGTTGAAGAGGGTGTGGGGAGAAGAAGTAAGTCTTCCCAGATTTTGAATTTAATGCAAACTCAGAGTCTGGGAAAGGACAACAGAGGAGAAAGTCGGGGGCAGGGCGACGAAGTCTCACAAATAAATAGTTCGGAAGGACCAATGGCATCAATTCCATGTACATTTCATCACTGAAGTGAGACGCTGTGTGTGTGATTTGTTTCTAAACGGACTAGGGGGGAAGGCTCTGTTGCCTGCGTCCTGCCTGGGACAGGCTCGGCCATGATGCTGCAGTGCCACGGCCACCGCGGGCACCGCATCCTGCCACCCTCACCCACCTTCCTCGCTCCGGGGCCTTGGCACACAGGTAAGGCTGTGCTGGCAGACAGAGCCAAGGACCAGCCGCAGTCAGGCTGCTGGCACTGCCCTCCTCCGTGCGGTACCCCTGGTGGCCGTGGGGGACGGCGGCAGACGCGTGGAGTGTCACAGTGGAAGGGACCCCAGAGAGCGCGCGGCCCGATCCTTCCATTTCACAGACAGGAAGGCTGAGGCCCAGGAAATGGCAGGGCCTCACCCATAGTCCCCTTGCCAGTAAAGTACAGAACCGGGACGAGAATTTGGATCTGCGGATCCTTTGATCGTCCCCCTGTGCCTGTCATCGCCCTCTCTAAAGTGACCCATCTCCCTCTGCCATTTCCTCACTTGACCTTGAGGACTCCTCTCTGCCCTGCCACTCACTTCCCCGCCCGCCCCCCCCCCCCGCCCCCCACATGATCTGCAGACTTAGCCCGAGGAATTTCAAGCCTTTGAGAGCAGTGGTGGGGAAATACCAAGTCATTTTCTTGTCTCCGGGGACAAGGCCACGCATAAGGCTTAGGAACCAAAGCAAGCTTTCTTCAGTGTAGTCCGGTTTCGAGACCCGGAATATCATCTTCGTCAGTCTGCTAGGGTTGCTGTAATAAATTGCCACAAAATTGCTGGCTTAAGACCATAGAAAAGTGTTGTCTCACTGTTCTAGAGGCCCCAAGTCTGAAATCAAGATGTTGGCAGGCTTGGTTCCTTCTGGAGGCTCTGAGAGAGCCCCATACCTCTCTCTGCTGGCTTTTGGTGGCTGATGGCAATTCTTGGCTTTCCTGGCTCGTGACGCACCGCCCCAATCTCTGTCTCCGCGTTCACGTGCCCTTCTCCCTCAGTGCCTTCCCGGCTGTTTTTGTCTATCCTCTGATGAGGACGCTTGTCACTGGATTCAGGGCCCACCCGTTTCGGCATGGTCTCGTTCTGAGATCCTTAATTCCATCTACCGACGCCCTTTTTCCACGTGAGTTCATCTTCGCAGATTCCAGCGGGACAGCATCTTGGGGGTGGGGGGGGGGGCACACGTCATCCAACCCGCTACCCGGTCCAGCGAAAGTTTTCCTACGAGAACCGGCAGCAGTGAGATGCCATGTCTGCTACCAGAGCCTGATCGATGCGGGGCTCGAACCCACAAAACCGCGAGAGCACGACCTGAGTCGAGGTGGGACGCGCGACCGACTGAACCCCCCAGGCGCCCCTGACTTATCTATTTCTTCCAAGAGCCTTCTGAGGCAGGTACTGCGTCATCGTCCCCAAGTTACAGCCAAGGAAACCAAGGCACAAAGGAGTGCAGGTCACGCAGCTACTAAGTGGCCGGATTTAGGCCCCCTCAGCTCCAGAATTTGTGCTCTTAACCACACTTCAGCTTACTCATGCTGGGGTTGCACACTCCTCTCTCTCTCTCCCTCTCTCTCAACTCGACACCATTGATTTTTCCATCCACCCCACGTCTCAGATTTGTTGCTTTTGCAGATATTTATGGGGCACTTTTGGATGCGTGCTCTGTGCCGATCTACAGTCGGACACCCGGGGTGGGCTCGCAGGCTTTCCACGCACGGGACTGGGCAGAGCGGTGTGCGGGGTCACCCTAAGAATGGAGGGGGGCGGGGGGAGACGCCACGGCGCATCTCACTGTGCCACTGGTGATGAGCAAAACACCTGCCGGGTCAGTAAAGACCATGAAGCAAGCGTTCGTTTTTAAATCGATAGGAAAGAAGAAACGTAGGAACGGTGGCGGTCTTTTGGAGCAGCCAACATCATGGGTCCCGTGTTTTACCTTGTCTTTCCCGTGGTGTTTTAGCAAATCTGACGACTCTTCCCTCCCCCCGGCCCCCGCCCCACAAGAACACGTTTCTAACACACAACAGATTTCTTCTTAGCCTCTGAAGCCTTGTATCTTTGGCATGCAAATGACCCCGTCAACTTTGACCTTGAAAAGCAATACGTGTAAGTCTAGCTCCTCACAGGGCTCCCCCCACGCCGGCGGCCTCTCGGGGGTGGAAGGCAGATACAGCCCCAGTGCTCTCCACTGGCCACCTTATGTGAGGTTAACAGGCGACAATTCCCTTTCATGCTCAGCGACAACGGGAGAAAACCGGGTTACGTCTGTGGAACGTGTTCTAACTGGCGGCTCTTCTAAAATCTGACTCTGGAGTTGACTTCAGGGTCTTTCCCTTTTTAGGATGAGGTAGAACCCCTGGGGAACGGGGAGGGGAGCAGCGCTGCCTGGAGATAAGCTCCGGATTGCCATCTGACTCAGGAGATTCCCTACGTCTTAACTCACAAAAAGTCCCTCGACCTTTGCCTAGCAAATCATCTGGGTTGGGACCAGGGACGTCCAATGCACCACAGTGGTTTTTCTTCCCGGATGAGTAAAGCCTTCTGTGATGACTTCCATGTGCTTGGCCTTTTCTCTCCCCCACACAAACCCACCATCACCAGGGAGGGGGTCCAAGAGGGCAGCTTCTGTTTTCAACAGGAGATAAAGGCTTTCTCTGCCTCGACTCTCCTCCGCCGTGCGTGTTGACAACCGGGCCGTGTGGAGTTCATTCCACCCTGAGCTGTGCCACGTGGGGGCCCGGGGATGACAGAGTCAAATACATTTCTGATCGGCGACAGCCTTTCTGTCCCGAACGGAGACATTGCCTCTTCCTCCGGCTTCTTCGTTGTCCGCGACGGTGTGACAATCTCCTACCCTGCCAATCTGCCTCCTGGCGTGTTGAAACAGAGCCCTAAACCCCCGGGCATCAGACCCACCGGCTTACAGACGCCCCACGGGGGTCTTCTCACTTGTCCGTTTTTAAAGGTGTTTGGGGAGCACATACCGTGCGTAGAGCAGGGGACAGCTCCATCCAGCTTCTGTGCACCCTGGACTAAAGGTGACTTTGCTCGGCACCGATTGTCGGTCGGTGTCTTTCGGCCAAGATGCTGCAGGTTCACTGGCTTATGCTGGCCTTCCTCCCGGGAGCGTCCGTGTTTAACAGAAGGACGGAGACCATGCCTGCAGAGGGCTGACAGGGGCATTTCCAGGCCCCGGAAGCCGGAGGAAAGATATATTCCGGGGCGAGGAAGCATTCCCGGGGTCCTTGAAATTACCACCCTGGTTATGGAAGCCACATCTTTTGGTCTGTGCCCAAATGCCCCCTACCCTTCTGGGAAGGGAGAGCCCTTCCCTTCTGCCAAACAGCACACTAGGACCACCCCCCCCCCCCCCCCTGTTCCTTGCCCCGCTGTGCTTCTCTTCACGCCTTGACATGGTACACTTATATGTGTGTTATTATGTGTCCCCTGCCCTGGAATGCAACCTCCCCCAAGGCGGAGAGGTTGGCTGTTCCGTTACTGCTGAGTCCTCAGCACCAGATCAGGGCCGGGCATGGGGTAGAGGCTGTATGCACATCTGTGAATGAATGAATGAATGAATGAATGAACACATTCCTTTTCTTTTCTCTCTGTGCCCCGTGGGATGCTTCATCCGCTCCAGGCAAACTTATGACCTCCACCACCTGGCGACTTCTGGTGTTCCTGCCTCAGAGAGACTTGGCTCCCCAGAGGCCCGAATTGTGGCCTCTCGGGTGACACCCCTGGGGGTCAGCCCTGCCATTTCCAGCGCGGCCGGGAGGAGCGGACCTTCTCTAGACGCACGGCCCCTCTGAGCTGCCCCCCATCTCAAGGTAAGTGCGAACGCCTCGCTGGGGCCCAGGCCCACCTCACCCACCCCCGGCCTCCTCTTGGCCTCTCTCCTTCGTGCCGGGCTGGGCTCCTGCAGCACTGGCCTCCTTTGGGTTCCTTTAAATGCCCCCTTGCAGTTCCCTTACCTGGAACTTTCTCCAGCTGGCCCCTGCCCCCCACCCTCGGAGCCTCTTCTGACCGGTTCCCTGGCCCAGCGCCTGTCTCCCGGCTCCTCACCCCCCCCCCCGCCGGGCCCCCCCCCCCCCCTCCCCGCTGCCTGTGGTTGGTTCTGTAGTTTCTTCTTCTCTTGGGTTTCTGTCCCTGTCATGGGAAGGACCGTGTTCCTTGCTGAACTCCCTGACATCAATAAGGACGGCAATAACAATAATAATATCTGTTGGATAAAGGGAGGAACTGTGGCACGCGGGCACTCGGCCTGCTGCTGTCTTTCCAGAACCTTCTGTTTCCACACCTGTACTAGTTTGCTAGGGGGCTGCCTTAACAAAGTACCGCCGACGGGGCAGCTTAAACAAGGGAAATTTATTTTCTCAGTTCTGGGGTCTGGAAGTCTGAGATCAAGGCATCCGCAGGGGCCGGTTTCTCCTGGGGCCTCTCTCCTTGGTTTACAGATGGCCGTCCTCTCCCCGTGTCCTCACGTGGTCATCCCTCTGTGCCCGTCTGTGTCCTAACCTCCTCTTCTTATAAGGCCACCAGTCAGATTGGGTCAGGGCTCACCCCAACGGCCTCATTTTAACTTAAACACCCCTTGAAAGACCCCGTCTCCGGAACAGCCACATTCTGGGGTGCTGGGGGTCAGGGTTTGAGCACGTGAATTTGGGGGAACAGATAACAATGCCCACGCTGTCCACCGGCACCACCCACACTGGCTGGGCATGTGTCCTCACGCTCTCCTGTGACTTCAGTGCTCGGCCCCCCCGGCCTCCCTCCTGCACCCCCTCTCAGCAACCTCCTCATCCCTGTTGCTCATGTTTTACTCATAGAAGCTCTCTCCTTAGATCTCTGTTTCTCCAGTTTGCTTAGCCGGTCGCTGAGCCCACCGCACGACAATTACCCCATCTGCTGAGGGCCTAGGGAGGGCCAGGCACGGCCCCAGCAGTTCCCACAGTTAAGCCTCACATAACCCACGAGGCAGCTCTAATCCCCCCCCCCCCCCCCATATTATCTAAGCAGGAATCCAAGCTCACATGGGTTGGATGAGCTGCCCACGGTGACTCGGGGTGGGGGTGGGGGGACCTGGGGTCGAACCCAGACTTCCGGTCTCGGGGCGCGCCCCTCTGAAGGCGGTGTTCATCCACAGGTTATCAGGGCACATCACCAATGAGGAAAGGGGTAGGACAGACATGCCTGTTAGAGCAACAGACAGGGCTACCGACAGACTGATGACCAAAGAAGATAGGGAAGCATTAGGAAGCGTGGAATAAAAGGGAAAAGCATGGCAACCTGGGTCCATTTCACAGAAGGGCTAAAAGCCCGACACGTCTCGATAGGCCCCCACAGCATCACCGCACACATCAGCATGAGTAACAGCAGGAAAACAGTCTGTTCCGTGAGGGCTGGCAGAGTTAGCAAATAAAAATGTGGGACTCCCAGTTAAATCTGAATTTCAGATGAACACCACATTACTATTTAGTATGAGTATGTCCTGTGCAATACTGGGGATATGCGTATACCAAAAAATTATCTGTTGCTTATCTGAAATTCAAATTCACCGGGTGTCCTGTGTTATATCGAGCGACCCTAGATGTTCACCGCACGCTTGGTTTAAAAAAGGCAAGAGAGCAATGCATTCCAGAAAGATGTTCTTCCAAAATGGGTAAAATAAAGGGGCGCCAGGGTGGCTCAGTTGGTTAAGCATCCGACTCTGGATTTCAGCTCAGGTCATGATCTCACGGTTCGTGGGTTCGAGCCCCACATTGGGCTCTGTGCTGACAGCTCAGAGCCGGGAGCCTGCTTCGGATTCTGTGTCTCCCTCTCTCTCTCTGCCCCTCCCCTGCTCACGCTCTGTCTCTCTCTGTCTCAAAAATAAATATAAACATTTAAAAACATTAAAAAAAAACCAAAATGGGTAAAATAAATACATTGGTGCTTACGTGATCCTTTATGACATGCGTAACAGATAAGAACTGTGTGAGTGACAGAAGCTGCAACAAACACAATGGAAATTTCTCTTTCACGTTAAAAAAAAAAATTCTAGAGGTTCAAGGTCCTGGGATACCTGGGTAGCTCCACAGGGTGACCACGGACCTGGGCTCCTCCTCTTTTTCTCTGCTTCTACTCTTAGCCTTCCTGTCTCACAGGTGCCTCATGAGCCAAAAGAGTTGCTGAAGCTCCAGTTGTCACATCAGCATTCTGGGCAACAAGCAAGGAGCAGGTGGAGGAAGAAAATGAAAAAAGCACATGGCAGTCAGGAGGCCATTTTTAGCTGCAAAAGAAGCTTGAAGTGCAGTGTTATAACTGTGCGTGGTGCCTCACTGAATAAAATCAAGGGTCCGTTACTAGAAGAAAGGGAGAATGGATACTGGGTAGGCAAACGGCTCCATAGAAAACTGTGTCCTCTCTCCTGTCTGTTAGGGCCCTTGGCCTTTTCTGCAGGAGGAGGTTAAGGGCCCACTTTTTAAAAATATAGGCAATTTTATCTTGCCTACTGTTTTGTTTTATAGACTCTTCTGGTTACAGTTCTAAGCCACCAAGGGCACAGTTTAATATATCAGAAGAGTAATAAAATAAAGCACCGGATTGATTTTTTTTTTTATGCCTAAAATCTAATTAAAAAGGATGTTCTTAAGGAAAAGAGTAGACTCTTTGAAGACTAAATACCTGGTCTCTGCGGAGCTCTCCCCGCTTCCCGTGCTTAGATTTCAACTGGGGTCCAGATCCTACCATGTGCTGGGCAGGGTGCGAGGATGGGGGGCTGGAACGACGGGTGAGCATTCCCGGAGGTGATAAACGCGTGTGAAATGGTCCGAGAGGGTGCCTGGGTTGCATCCTAAGTAGGTTGGGTGAAGAGACTGAATCTGTGTGCCTGGGAAGGAGGGTCCCGGTGGAATATTCCTGACAAAAATTAATATTCCTGACAAAACTCATCCATAGCAGAATTCCAGTCCACTGAGGCCCCGTGCGGGCCGCGCAGACCTTCAATAACCCCGAGCGCTCTTACCGGTGACTCGTGTTTGGGAGCAATTTTCTGCCCCCACCCCCCAAAGTCATGTCATGATCTGCATGGGTCCCTGAAGTTCTGCTGAGAATTTTCTACCTTTTAGATTCAGTATTAAGCAAAGCTCTTAAAAGATGAAGGAAAGAAATCCTTGCTTTGCCTTCCATCTTTGGTCATGAAAAGCGTGTGTAGAGGGATGTTCTAGGGGACCCCGGCTCCATTCAGTGTTTAGAGGCCAGGATCCCCCCCCCATTCCAGCACGAGGTGTGGACAGCTGGACCACTTTGCACCCGGTATTTCAGTGACCAGGTCGAGGAAGAAAGAGCAGGCAGCACGTTTGAGGTCAGGGAAAGAATGTTTTTTCCAGGGATCAGTGTCTTGTGAGTATCGCCCCCTGGTGGAGGAGCAGGGGCTTGTTTTCCCCCTTCCCTCCCGCTGCCTGGAAGGATCTTTAGGAGGAGAGAACTCACAGGGCAGGCACCTGCCCCCCCCAGGGCCAGGGATGCAGCCCTCCCCTGAGAAATCTGCATCTGGCTAAACCTGCCCCTGGCAGTGACGTTCTTTCCCCGACCGCTGGTCCAAGGCGGGAGCTTCCGGAGACCAGGTGTGGGTCTGGGAGAGTTCGGAGATCTTTCCCGAAAGATGAGATAGGAGAGCCTGGAGGGGGAACCAGAGGGAGAGCTCGGATCTCCAGGGGCTAGGGGTGGAATTGCCAATAACAAAAGACCAGCTAGAGAAAGTGTTTTCACTAGAATCAAAAGAACAGTAAGGGTGAGCCCTTCCAAAGTGCCCGGTTTGGTGGCACCGAAAGCCTGCTGGGGCGCCCGGGTGGCTCAGTCAGTTAAGCTTAAGTGGCTGACTCGATTTCGGCTCAGGTCGTGATCTCGTGTTGGTGGGATCGGGCCCTGAGCCGGGCTCTGGGCTGGCAGCTCAGAGCCTGCTTGGGATTCTCTCTCTTTCCTGCCTCTCCCCTGCTCACTCTTTCCCCCCGCCCCCACCTCTCTTGCAAAATAAATGAATAAACTTTATAATTTAATTTTTAAAATTTTTGTTAAGTGTATTTATTTTTGAGAGAGAGCACGTGAGCAGGGGAGGGACAGAGAGAGAGAGAGAGAGAGAGAGAGACAGAGTATCTGAAGTGGGCTCTCCGCTGACATCAGAGAGCCTGATGCGGGGCTCGAACTCATGACATGAGATCATGACCTGAGCCAAAGTCGGACGCTTAACAGACTGAGCCACGCAGGTGCCCCTAGACACAAAAGCTTTAAAGACATGCCAGGGTTAATCTTGCAATTGCAGGGAAACACGATTAGCACACCGCGCATTAGGTAGGGCTCCATTTACGATTCCCGCCTCACCTCTAAATACCTGTTTGGGCAGAGCCGCACTCCTTAGGGTTCTATTTGCGATGTGGATTTCTTCGAGTACCTGGGAGCCTCGCTCTAACATTACCCTGGAATGTATTACGGATAAACTCATTTGGGGCCTCATCCATGCAGTGCTTAATTCTAGAAGAATTAGGAGAACATCCCTCTTGTCTTACCCAATTGCCTGCGTTCTGGGAATGTAGTGTTTCAGAGACCCTGGCATGTGCTTGAATTTCACGTGCCTTTTTATTTTGTAACAGGGACTCACATGTTCTCCCACACTGGACTGGTCATCAAGGCAAAGTGTCTGACTTAAACTAACACATAATTCGCCTTTTACAATAAAATTGCGGCTGGACAGGCATTGGTGGGGCGTCGGGAGGGACAGGGAGCAGGGGAGACGGGGGCTGGGCCCTCGAAGAAGTTCCCATATCTGCCACATGAAAGCTGTCCCAGTCCTGGCCGATGTCAGCCTCTGGGATAAACCTCCCTGTGCCCGACCCTCTCCAGACAAAGGTAGAGGGGTGGCTGGCCTGTCCTAATCCTGGGGTGCAGGAGAGACAAATGGGCACCCTAATTAAATGCTGCTCTATGAGCCAAGTGCCTCTCAGCATCTTGTCCACAGGACGCTGCCCCAATGTGACTTAACGTTTCTTTTTAGTGACTTTGAAAATTGTGACAACAATTTACCATTTACCATTTAAATCATTTTTGAGCATACAATTCAGTGGCATTACACATTCACCACCTTGGGGTGCCTGCGTGGCTCAGTCAGTTGGGCGTCCGACTCTTGGTTTTGGCTCAGGTCCTGATCTCGTGGTTTGTGAGTTCGAGCCCCGCATTGGGCTCTGTGCTGACAGAAGAGCTTGCTTGGGATTCTCTCTCTCTCTCTCTCTCTCTCTCTCTCTCTCTCTCTCACTCTCTGTCCCTCCCTCTCTCTCTCAAAATAAAGAGATAAACTTTATTTTTTATTTTTTAAATTTCTTTAATGTTTTATTTATTTTTGAGAGACAGAGATAGACAGAGCTCGAGCCGGGGAGGGGCAGAGAGAGAGGGAGACACAGAATCTGAAGGAGGCTCCAGGCTCCGAACCATCAGCACAGAGCCCGGCGCAGGCCTCAAACCCACGAACTGGGAGATCATGACCTGAGCTGAAGTCAGATGCTTAACCAACTGAGCCACCCAGGCACCCCTAAGTAGATAAACTTTAAAAACAAAAACAAAACAACAACACCAAAAAGAACCATTCACAATGTTGAGTAGCCATCACCGCCAACCAATTCCAAGCCTTTTTTCCTGTCCCCAGACAGAAGCTCGGTCCCCATTAAACTTCCCCCTCCCCTGGCCCTGGCACCCGTCATTGTGCGTTCCATCCCCTTGCATGTGCCTGACTTAGGTATCACATGTAAGCGGAGCCATACATTATTTGTCCTTTTGTGTCCGGCTTCTTGCACTAAAACATAACGTCTTCAACATCCATCCATGCTGTGGCACGTGGCAGAATGTCCTTCCTTCTCGTGTCCGAATATTTCCGTGTAGGGATAGACCACATTTCATTTATCTGTTCATCCGTTGACCGACACTTGGGTGGTTTCCACTTCTTGACTGTTGTGAATAATGCTGCCGTGGTCGTTGGTGTACAAGTGTCTGAGTCCGTGCCTTCCCTTCGTACCTAGAATTGGCATTGCTGGATCATATAGTAATTCTATGTTTGACTTTTTGAGGGACCTCAGAACCTTGGAACAGCAGCAAGTGCACTGCTGTACGACCCCACCAGCAACGCATGACCGTTCCATGTTCTCTACGTCTTCACCAATGCTTGTTACTCTCCCCCTTTGTTTGTTTGGTTGGTTTGGTTGGAGTCTTCCTAGTGGGTGCGAGTGGTACCTCACTGTGGTTTTGATTTGATGGCTAATGATGCTGAGCATCTTCTCATGTGCCTATTGGCCATCATACATCTTACCATCTTCTTTAGAGAAATGTCTGTTCAAGTCCTTCGCTCATTTCTGAATTGGGTTGTCTGGTTTTTTTTTGTTGTTGAGTTGTAAGAGTTCTCTCTATATTCTGCATACTGACCCTGTATCGGACATGAGATTTGCAGAATTCTCTCCCATTCTGCAGGGTGTTCTTTCACTCTCTTGATGGTGTCCTTCGATGCACAACCAAATGTGACTTTTTGTGTGAAAAGAAGGTTCATCTGACAAAGGTCTGTCAGCTGCCAGCTGTGATATATTAATTAATTCACCCATTTATACACGTATTACGGAGAGTATTTAATACAAATATGTGCTGAGGAGAGCCTGGCGCTGGGTGTTGGGGAGAGATTTGTGTTCCTAAGGTATAGTTGCCACTGGACAGTTCACCTTCAAAGTGTTTAGAGTATAGTTGACAAGACACTTGCCATAAAAAAGAGGCTAAAAAACAATGACAATAGATATTTGATCAGCCTTTTTTTTTTTTTTGGACAGAGTGAGGGGTGAAGGGCAGAGAGAGAGAGAGAGAGAGAGAGAGAGAGAATCTTAAGCAGGTTCCACACCCAGCGTGGAGCCCCACGTGGGGTTCGATCTAACGACTGTGAGATCATGACCTGAGCCGAAACCAAGAGTCGGATGCTTAACCCACTGAGCCGCCCAGGCGCCCCTGTATGATTATTTCCAATATGTGAATTCCAGTTGATGTGATGGGGCTGTTCAAACATCAAGGGAGGCTGGGTAGGGAAAGCCACTCAAGTCCTTCATCACCTGGCCCAAGCCACACAATCAAATTTGTCACCAACAGTCAATATTTCCACCCTCACAGTCGATGCCGTGGGGCATCTAAATGATCAAGAACTGGAGAATGTTAACTTAGGTGTTATAGCATCCCCCACTCATCTGGTCCCTTACCAGGTCGAGGTTATATTCTAGGGAGAGACTCCTTTCTAGCTTTGTGACAGGTATAAATACATCAGCCTATACCATCAAATCAAACCACACAGGAATTATTTTATGTCACGGGTGCTATCCTTCAACTCTTGATTCAAAATAATATGAGAAGTTATTTACTGTTATATGTAATGGAAATTAATGAAATACGATCTTACAAAACAAGAAAGTGAAAAGGCATTTATTTACATGGTCAAAAGAGCATATGTTTGAAAGGCTCCGTCTTAAATTCCTATGAAGAGATTTTCTTTTTTTTTTTTATTAAAAAAATTTTTTTTAACGTTTATTTATTTTTTGGGGACAGAGAGACACAGAGCATGAACGGGGGAGGGGCAGAGAGAGAGGGAGACACAGAATCAGAAACAGGCTCCAGGCTCTGAGCCATCAGCCCAGAGCCCGACGCGGGGCTCGAACTCACGGACCGTGAGATCGTGACCTGGCTGAAGTCGGACGCTTAACCGACTGCACCACCCAGGCGCCCCGTATGAAGAGATTTTCTAACACAGATAAGGTGGGTTTAGGGGAAGCATTATATTCCTGGACTATGGCAGCAGAGGCCCCCGCCATGGAAGTCACGGTCTCTGAAATGGATATAAGTCCATGGAGAGCAAAGACTTCTAAATGGTTACTATGAACTATGTATTTGTATGTATTCATAGGTACTATGTAGTATGCAATATTCTTTTAGCAACATTCCTGTGATTTAAGGCAAGGTCCGCTCATACTTCAGGGAGCCTAATGCCACTGACTTTGACCTGTCAACCTTCCCTACTTGAAGCTGGCCTTCCCTACAAGAGTTTAAGCTCCCTGGGGGATAGCTATGTCTCCTGGCCCCCCAAAGACTTGTTTCAACAGTGAGAGACCCAACTGCTTATACCAAAAGCCCCCCTATTTGGGGATCCTTCCTCTCTCATCCCTGTGTCTAACCCATCAGCCAATCCTGTCAATGTCCTCTCCCAAGCTTCTGTCTACGAAACAGAGGAGCCCCCCTGATGCTCTGACATCTGCAGCCTGGCTGGCTCTGGAAGGACTGCCCTCCCAAGGCTAGCCAATTCCTAGAGATCGCAAACGATTTACCCTGGAGTGTGCATTGCACACACAAACCCACCAATCCAGAGCCTACACTCCCATCCACCTCCTCCGTGAGGCTTTCACACTTGAGGCCACCTGCTTCCCGAATCACCGGGAACCAGGTACACAGCGAGGGGGCAGCCCCCGTGCCCCAGAACCTGCCTCAACTATTCAAACTAGCCAGTCCTAAGCCTGTGGACCCTGCCTTGCCTATGCTTTCCCACGGGAAGGCTTTGTGCACACTTTCCGTCTCCCTCTGCCTTCTGACTGGCCCTGGGGCTTCCTCACGTGGTCCCGTGTGGGCAGCACAGGGGTCCTCCTTCCTGGGAACCGTAACAAACTACCCTTCCAATGACATTATCTCCTAATCGGTTGGCCTTGCCATACCTGAGTACTCATCACACCTTTTTTTTTTTTTTTAAGTTTATTTATTTATTTTGAGAAGGACAGAGAGAGCTCTGAGGGGCGGGGGCAAGGGCAGAGACAAGGAGAGAGGGGGAATCCCAAGCAGGCTACGTCCACGTGCTCGGTGCACAGAGCCCGATGTGGGGCTCGAACCCACGACACCGTGAGATCACGACCTGAGCCGAGATCAAGAGTCGGATGCTTAACCAACAGAGTCCCCCAGGCGCCCCACTAATCACGCCTTTCAAAACCCCCTGGAGCTGTGCCCCCCACCCCAGCCTGTCTGGACCCTTTGATGACCCCCCACCCTCTCAATGTGCTTCTCCTCTAAGCCTGTGGCCCAGGAACCCTGGGGACTCTTCCAAAACGAACACTGATCGTGTTGCTCTCCTCCTTACGATTCCCAGAGCCCTCTGCTGTATGTTAGAAGAAAATCCACATTCCTCACGGGCGCCTACCGCCAGTCTCAGGCCAATTCTCGCTCGGTGGTCTGGCCACACGGGATCCCTCCCAGTTCTTCCGAGATGCCACGCTGTTTCCTGTCTCGGGGGCCTCTGTACTTTCTTTTTTACACCTCCCCACCACACCCCTCCGCTTGGAGTAGAATAGAAGCTCCTCGAGGACAGGGGCCTTGGTCACAGTCGCCTCCCCTGAGCCTAGACTCCTGGCATGTCGTGAGTACCGGACAGATGAATGAGGGGCGCCTTACCTGTATTTCCACGGCTGCAGAGGGGAGGGGTGGAGGGGGCCGATGACTGTGGAGGTATCCCCTGCTGTGACCCTGTAGCCTCCTGGGAGCTGCTGGCTCACCAGAGGCTTCCAAACTCCCGGCCCCAGACAAGACAGCTGCAGCGTCAGGGCTGGGAAAGGCAGACGGTGCCTGCTTCCTGGAGAGGCCAACGGGAAGCCGGCCTCTGTCTCGTGAGGTCCTGCTGACCATCACGTTTCCCCTGCAAGGGTGCCCTGTCCTTCCCCAGACCCCAGGCTCCTCCGGCGCCCGCTCCAGAAGCTTGGCCGTCCCCACGCTGCAACCCCACTTGGCCCGAAGGATGCGATGCAGCTTTTGTTGGTGCAGAGATGTCTGGGGCGGCTGCCAGCAGCCTTATCTTTTCATTTCATCTGCCAGCCAAGAGCTCTTCTGTGCTTTTGCCTCTTGAAGCTTGAGGCAAGAAACCCTGACCTTGATTGAGCACCGGAGCCCCTCGCTTTGTTACTCACGGTCCCCCGTCCTGGTTCACATTCAGGCCGGCTGCTCCCCAGCCCTCTCTCTTCTATTCCCTCGACCCCTTACCTCCCAGGCAGCCTCAAAACAAAATTTGGGATTTTTTTTTTTTTTCCTGAGACCTGGCTCAGCCACTAGTGACATCATTGGTTTACCTCTCTTACTCAAGGGCACTGATGTACCTCCTCAGACTGCTGACTGCCGCCTGTCAGGTGGCTGCTTCGAGAAGACACCCTCAGAGTGACTCACGGCCACGCGCCAAGCGGAGGGGCCGCCAACACCCAAACCTGGTAGGGCTGGCTCCCCACCTTCCACCACATTCACTTGGCAAGCATTTTTTAAGGGACTATTATTTGCCAGGCATCGGTCTGCCAAGGGTCTGTCTCACCGGACTGGGCAGGGACTTTGGTCACGTCAGCATTGCACAGCTATCCAAACAGATGTTTCCGGAGCATCTTATGAGACAGTCCAACAAAGCATCCTGGGAAAACTGGATGTCCACATGCAAAAGAATGAAGTTAAACTCGTTGCCTCTCAGGTCATATACAAAGATCAACTCAAAACGGACCAAGAGTCTAAATGTAAGAGCTGAGACTATTGAACTCTTAGAAGAAAACGCAAGCCTATATTTCCATGACATTGGATTAGGCAAAGCCTTTGTAGAATAGGACACTGAAAAGGCAAGCCACCAAAGAAAAAATAGAGCAGGTGGACATCATCAGAATTACAACCCTTATGCTTCGAAGGCCACCGTCAAGAAAGTGAAAAGACAACCCACAGAATGGGAGACAATTTTTGCAAACCATCCATCTGGGAAGGAACTTGTATCTAGAATATATAAAGAATTCTACCAACTCCATAATAAAAAGATAACCCAATTGGCAACTGGGCAAAGAACCTGACTAGGCATTTTTGCAAAGAAGATAAACACGTGGCCAATAAGCCCATGAAAAGAGACTCAATGACAAAAACCATCGAGAACACATAAATCAACACCGCAGTTAGATCCCAACTCACGCCCACGAGCATGGTTAGAATCAAGAAGTCAGATGATGACAAACGCTGGCAAGGAGGCGGAGAAATAGCAACTCTCCTACATTATTGGTGGGAATGTAGACAGACCGGTGTAGCCACCGTCGAAAACATTCTGGCAGTTTCTCAAGAAATTGCTGAGTTACCATACGACTGGCCGATTCCACTCCTAGGTATGTATCCAAGAGAAATAAAACCAGGTCCACGGAAAATCACGGATACATATGTTCATAGCAGCGTTACTCATAATGCTCCCCAAGTGGAAATCCCCATCACACAGATGTCCATGAGCTGATGAACGGATAAACAAAATGTTGCATTCCCATGCAATCAAATATTATTTAGCGATAAAAAGAAGGAAGTATCGCTACATACCACAACATGGATGAACCTTGAAAACATTATGTTGCTACACGTTATGTGTGTGTGTGTGTGTGTGTGTGTGTGTGTGTGTGTATCATAGAAAGACACAAGAGGCCACCCATTATATGATTCCACATATATGTAATGTCCAGAATTGGCAAATCACAGAGACAGAAAGTGGATTAGTGGCCACCTAGGGTTGAGATGGTGGGGGAGAAATGGAGAGTGAGGGGTAACAGGTACATGGTTTCTTGTTGGGGTGATAAAACTGTTCTAAATTGATCTTGATGATGGCTGCCCCACTCTGTGGCTGCTAAACACCGATGAATTGTACGCTTTATTTTTTTAACGTGAGTTTATTTATTTTAAGAGAGAGAGAGAGAGAGAGCACAAGCCAGGGAGGAGCAGAGAGGGAGCGAGAAAGAGAGAGAGAATCCCAAGCAGGCTCCACACTGTCAGCGCAGAGCCTGATGGGGGGCTCTATCCCACAAACCGTGAGATTGTAACCTGAGCCAAAACCAAGGGTCAGATGCTTAACTGACCCAACCACCCAGGTGCCCCTGAATTGTACGCTTTAAATGAGTAAACTATATAGTATGTGAATTATATTTTAGTAAAGTTATGTGTAAAAAGTCATGTGGTAAAGATCCTGGACAATCAAGAGGGTTTAGGAGTCTGGAAAGTTCTAGTTGGCGGTAGGCAGAATAATGACTCCCTGAAGATGTCCAGGCCCTAATGTCTGGAACCTGTGCTCATGTCACCTTACACGGCAAAAGAGACTTTGCGGATGTGCCTAAGGATACGGACTTTGAGATGGGAGATGATCCTGGGTTATCCAAGTGTGCCCAATCTAATATATGGGTTCTAAAAAGTAGAGGCCCTTTCCCAGAAGGGTCAGAAACATGAACCCCAAAACGGAGGTGAGGCCAAAGCACTCAACCCTCTGTGGCTGGCTTTGAAGACTGAGGAAAGGGACCATATGCCAGGGAATGTGGTAGCTTCTGGAAGCTGAGAATGGCCCTCAGCGGACAGCCAGCCAGGGAACGGGGATCTCAGTCCTAAACCACAAGGAACTGACTTCCGGAGGCACCCAAATGAGCCAGAAAAGGGCTGCCCTGGAAGGGAACGTAGCCGCCCTGCAACCCTGTGGTTTTAGCCCCGGGAGACCCACGCTGGACCTCTGGCCCATAGGACTGTAAGATAATACGTTTGCATTGCTTTCGTCACTCACTGGTGGTAAGTTGTCACCGCAGCAATAGAAAAACAAACATATTGTCTGTAGCTACTTCATGCGGACGTCACAAAGCCCATCCTTAGGGGAGAAAAAGCGCTGAGCTTTCTCATGTCTGGGGGTGAAAAACTCGACTTGTGGCTGCAAATCCACAACACCTGTTCCCCCCCCTCCCCTCCCGGTGCAAAGAGCAGAGTGAACGAGTGGAGCTGACTTGGTGAGTCGTTCTGAAAATAGAACCCGCCACGTGATTTTCTTTCTAACTCCACAGACCTCTCTCATGAGTCATTCATCTTTCTGGGCCTCACTTTCCATGTCTGTGAAGTGAAGCGGGCTGAGTTAACCCTGACTCCTGCCCACCCCACAGTTTAGGAAGATGAAAAAAAAAAAAAAAAAAGAGCTTGGCGAAGAGAGCCCCACGGTGCTCTTTGACAATTCAGCCACAGACACCGTCTGGGCCGCAACATGCCGGTGGTGGGGTGGGGGCGGGGGGGGGGCATTGATCTTCTCTTCCGGCTTCCTTCGGAGGGTTCTGGGCACACCTGGCCCCCGGTGATGTCGCCTGGAGCGTCTCGTAGCTGCTGGCAGCACAGAAATGAGCAAAGCTTCGGGTTGGCAAACGAGCAGAAGCCAATCACAGGCCCTATTGGACAAGGCTATAGATTTGTGGGTTTGGCGGGGGCAATGCGCTTACACCTGGATGAGACCAAAGTGTTTTCCTGATGGAAAGAAGGCAAAGCGATGGTCCAGGTCAGACTAGGAGGTATGGAGTTGGGGCGAGCAGCTGTCGGTGGGGAGGACAGTTGTAACATCCTTGGCTCATTTCATCCTAGGTGCAGACCCCGTCCCCCTGACACCTAAGGAGACACGCGAATATTCTTAATGGGCTGCTAACGGTTGACTTGCCTTTGGGAAATTTTTTAAAGGTACCTGCAGATCACCCTTATGATGGCTGTACAGGGACCCAGGAAAGGTCCCCTTGGCTCATCTCAGTCTTTGGGCACCTGCCATCTTCCATAATGCCTCCCTCAGCCCCGGTTCGCACAGTTGTGGGAGGGCACGGTGCACCTAGGGTTGCAGAACATGGGAAGGGCTCTTGGCCAAGAGTCCTGGCCTCTCCCAGACTGTTTTGCCTGGCCCCTCCCCTAGACCCTCCTGCCCACATCCAGCTGTGGAGGCAGCCCAGTGGGTACCTGGCTCCTCGATGCCCCCGCCCAGGTCCCACCCAGCATACCGCCCGAATTCTTTGTGGGGCCTGCAGTGAGCTGTCAGCTCACTGCAGGCCCCCAGATGGCCCCTGGCCTTGATGACAGTGGGGTCCAGCCCCTTCCAGCTTCCCAGCCTTCCTGGAACCCTCTTGCCCAATATCCTGTGTGGTAATCAGGCCTGTTGGCCCCACACAGTTTTGCTGGCCACTGCCAAGTTCCTTCTGCTTTGCTCTCAATGCTCTACCTCTCGCGGAACTTTCATGAAAGAAAAAGCTGCTACAAGCTTTCTTCTCTGCAGTCAGAATCCCCTCTCCTGGGTGCTCTGCACTCTTCAGCAGAGGTGACTATGCATTCTCCTGTCCCTGCGGTGGGAGGAAGGTGGGTCTGGGGAAGGGGCGGAGCTAAGGTGCTCTGGGAGTAGGGATGGGGGGGGTCTACATCCAGGAGGTGGTCCTGGGTGGCCCTGACTTAATTAGCCCGAGGTCATTCAGGACCGTCACTCTCAGGAAGGAGCAGCTGCCTCTCTAATGGCTGGGGCGCCACTAGGGGCCCTGACAGCCTGTAGGGCTGGGAGAAAGTAGGTACGAGGTTGCTGCAGGGTGAGGGTCAGATACTGCAGGACACTGGCGAGGACGGGGGTAGAGGGCTCACATGCCATCGACTGGGTGCTGACAGAAGCAGCTGACCGTGTTATCTCACGTATCCACCTCACCACCGCCCTAGAGAAAAGGCCATGCTCTCATCGTCCCATTGTACAGACGAAGTAACTGAGCTTCTGGTTTGTGTCTTCAAGGTCACACGGGTGTAAGCAGAGATTTGAAGCTGAACGTGGAGGCCCGGCAATAGCGTGCTCTCCGACCCCTATATCACGACTTCTGGGCTCTGAAAGTGAGCCGGACCAAGCTGCTCACTGTACAGACGGAGAAGAGCGAGGCCCGAGGAGGCAAGTAACCTGTTCCAGGTCCGGCAGCTTCTGCCAGATGCTGGGGAGGACCCGGCCACCCGGCTCCCAGGCTTCCTCCGCGACACCGCCACTTCCTTCCACTATTCGGGTGTCTCAGAGGGCAGCCCCTAAAGATGCACCGCAGAACCGCAGAACCCGGTGCGGAGGGGCGGCCGGCCGCTTGCCCGCCCACTTCACTCTGAAGTCCCGCCCTCTCTACGCTAACCAAGAAATCATCCGGGAGGCTCCGCCTCCCCCCCCCCTCGGTCGACCCCGAGCCGGGGGGCGTGGTCTCGCCTGCGCCTCCGCCCCTCGCCGGGGGCCTGACCGCGCGCGCGCGCGCGCGCGCCCCT